GATCACGTCGAGATGCCGATGTCCCCTCTTACCCTATTTATCTATCCTGATTCCTAATATTCTATATACCTGTTGCCAGTTCCCACACAATCTCCATTATATGATATAGACTGGTTAGTGTTCACCCATATTACTCCGGATTGTCTCCTCCATCTGCAAATATCGCGTTTTCCCCCATTTTCCGCCTCTTGTGCTGACTTGCACGCTTATCCATCTATCATTCATTTTACCCATTCTTCTTTTTTCATCCCTTGGCTGACGAGAGGGCATAACCCTCTACCGGCCCGCCGGTCCCCTAGGGATCGGAATGAAATAACGCTTATGTTGTTGTTGTTCTCTCTTTGGTTAACATGTGTTCAGTATTACTGATGAGGAGATGAATTCTCCCAAACTAGTATAACCCAATAACCCACGTTGATCAAAGTGTAGATTGAACTGGACCTCCCTTGAAGATTAAACGATTTTCGGAATACTAAGTTTTATTACATGTATCTGTCAGCTAAACTTTGTCGTTGTTTTTTTTTTTTATATCTTTGTTGAACACCTGTATAACCATTTGCTGTATACCGAAGACACGTGTACACTTGCTAAAGTTGTACCTGCTTTTTAGTCAAAATACCTTGTGAAATGCACATGTATACAGTATTTAAACTTTTTCGTGCCTTCTCCAGTCAGCATATTTCCTGGAAAACGCATGCATTTATAAAATAACACAGGCCTGCGATGGTTTTATTGTCTTGATATTTTACACGTACTACAGTAATTTAATTCCTGTACACTGAATCCGAAAATGATATCCAATTTTCTTCATCGCGTACATATTTTTCACAAAAGGTCATAACGCAATACATTAAAGAAAGACCACAACACGTAGGTTTGAACGTAGTTTTGAGAGTATAAGACGTAGATTTGAGACTACAAGACGTAGATTCATACACAAAAATCAGGATGAATGAGGATGTATATTCGTTTGACATCAATGTTCTTCCCTTTTCTTCAGTTTGTTTGTATTTTTGTTAAAAAATATAATAGAGTTTTTTTTCTTCTAGATTTATAAAAAAGAAATCCTTACGTGATAGAAAAAATT